CGCCTCCAACGTTTTATGACTGATGTTTGAAAAATCCTAGATCCGCCCCTGGATCTGCGCTTAAGCTGCGGTTTTCCTTGAAAACATATCAAAAGTCTTTAAAGATATTCAATTACTGATATCGATATGACAACCATTTAGTATTTCAAGCACTATCAAATTCGATGAAAATGACAATCGCTCTATAAAAAGTAAAAATGCGAGTTATAGTCTTAATATTTTTTATGAACCTGGATATTCAAGTTTCTTTTTTCTTCCGAAAAACAGATCTTTAAATCCACTGAAATGACAAAAAAAAGACAAACACTGTCTGACAACGTTTGAAAATTTACCTTCCGATGTAAGAAAAATTTTTGCTTTGAATATTTTCTCGTCATATTTTCTTATTGTATTGTCTTTTTAGCATACAGTGTAATTTTCAGTCGGCTTTTCCTCGTTACAAGTTGTAAGTTACATCGAACTCACTGTAGTAAAGTTCCAGCTGTAAAAAATAACTTTTTGTGAAAAGTTGGCCTCGTGTGTTGTTTGTCGTAATGTTGTTTATATGTTTATGCTTTCGCAATTTGTATTCAAATTTATATTGGCCGTGTATGTTTGGTACTCAAGGGAATGAAACTGACGCACAAACCGAGTGAATATTCAACTTTGAAGGACTGGAACTGATGTACAAACCGCGCAAGAGACTAGGACCATTGAGTTCTATAATAACTGGAGAGGCTAACTTTACTGGGGCGAGGTCGCCAAAAAAATGGCGGCCAACGGACGTATTTCCACTGAAATGATCGCTTTGCAAAAAAATAATATTCTCGACCTCCCCCTGGTGTCTATAGTAAATTATAAAGAATTTTTCAAAAACAAACACGATATCACAGAATACGGATATCGTTAGCTCCATATTCTGTGACGATATCTTTTTTAGCATTTCTTTTATAATGCCAACACTTCAATCGTTCAATTGTTGGATGTCGTAGTTTCCACAAAAAGGAAAATATCGCTTCTCACAGGTGAGATAGTTGCTTGTTTTGTTAGTCCGTCAACGATTTAAAAGCAATTATACATGCACTTGAAAAGCCATAAAATACATATTAAAGATCGTATTTTTTAAGACTGACTTGAACGCCAATTATACTGATGTTTTCCTGTTTTTGTCAATAAAATTCTGCATACTTTTCTGTCATTTGTTAATGCATGAAATCGTAAATTTACCCATCTATTTGCAAAATAGTTTCCCTAAAGCAAAAAAGACCCTGCACACATTTTGCTCTGTGAAAAGTATCAAAAAGAAATGATCAGCCCCAACAGTACCCATGATTTGGAGCAGAGCTTGTTATGTTCTATTTGCTGACAACATGCAGGGAAGACCAAGGAGTAAAGATGACTGGAAGATGTTATTGACCAGGCAGAGTCTTAAAAAAATGATAATGCTGTAAAGATAATTGATTTATTGTCTGCCTTATCCAGAGTTATTTAATTTGATCACGGTCAAATTCTATGGATGGAGACAATGGATTCACTTATGATGCCTTGAATGCTTTGAAGTTAAAGCTCATGAACCAAAAAAAGATGGCAAGAAGGTTGTGTGTGTTTTGATGCTTAATTAAATGTGAATTCACAACATATAAAATGGGAAGGCCATAAAGTTTGTGTCTATGTAAACATTTGTACTGAGATTGATGATGACTCGATGCAGATGTGAAGCATCAAACTGTATAAGCCATTGGGTTTTATATAACTTAATGTTTAAATCATGTCATATCTTTATCAAAATATTTTAGTTGAGTGTTGTTTAAATGTTACTAATATCTAATGCACTATATTGAAGCATCAAAGATTCAGTGATGAAACCTTTAAAATTATTGTACTGTATATTTCTTATATATTTCTTATATTTCTTTAAGAAACAGTTTGAGCTTATTTACCTATTAGAGTACAGAATGGAGATTTATCATATGCATCATTACTGCTTTTTTAAATAAATGTTTTTCACTTTTCAAAGCTTTTCTACAAATTTTTTGCTTCTTATTTCTTGTCATGAGATTGATGATATAGAGGTAATATAATCCTATAATTTCTAAAAAGCTTTTAAGCTTCTAGCATATAAGTACACTATAGGTATTTAATTCATTTGGTTTTATTGCCTTGCTATGACATATCCATATGCATTTCATCATTCTTGTATGAAGAAAACACCAAATGTGGATACTCAGAGAACAAAATGCACTACCAACTGCTTATGAAATTTATTATTGAGGTGAAAACTGTGTCAATTATTCAAATTGTGCACTTATATTGCAAATATAGGAAAAACAAAACAAAGTGAAAAAGAAGGGTAGAAGTATTAAAACTAAAAATGAATTATAAACACCATTGGAAGCATAAGTGTTTTGATGATTATTAGCATTTTGCCCAATTCATATATCAATACAACAAAATCAAAATGTGCTACAACTTTTCAAGTATTTGATGCAGTTACACTTCAGAACATCACAAAAAGGTTACTTAAAGTAATTTCTATACAATATTGTTTGTTTTCATTTAACAAACCTATGCAGACTTACTTGAGTCTTTTTGAAATTTAATACGAAACTCAATTACAGAAAATCCGTAAATATCCTGAGATTTAATATTTACTTTTTTAAAGAAACAAGTAAAAATCCTACAATTGTGGCGAAAAAAGCCATTGCCTATTCCACGAAAAGAAGCAAAATAGCAATGATAACAAATAAGCTAAATTCTCTCCCGTGAGCCACTGTGGAGATGAGCTATGATATACTTTTTTGTATAGACTAAAGAGTTTAATCGATCAAACAAGTTTGACGCTGGTAAGAAAACGACGCATATCTGCATTCATAGATGTGTAGCCGACATATAGCTCTTTCGTCGATAGTTATAAATACATCCTCGTAGGAGCCGATAACTGGAAAGCTAGGTTGACTCGCTGTTACGAATTGTAGGTTTTTATTGTGATTTTCATCAAAAAATTGCTTGCCGAATCCCAAATACACACAGACATTTTCTTCACTCTTTCCTTAGGAGGGAGTGGGAAATTGTGAAATTTTCGGAAAAGCGGTCAATTTCGGTAAATCTCAGCGGCAACGGACGAAATCCGCCATTTTTTTGGCGTCATCAGATATCTAAGGCCGCGCTTGAGATAGCCGCTCCAGTTATTATAGAACTCAATGACTAGGACTTAGACTTCAATTTTATATCTATAAAATGTATTGTCGTGATCATTCCAGATATATATATATATGGAGTTCACTACTTTCAAATCGACGATCCCCCCCCGGTCGTTAACAGTGCAAGTGAGTCAAGGCATCATTGACTAATAGAAAATATAGTGCCAAAGTAGTCCGCAGTCCCCCTGCAATTTACAGCAAATGAGTCGCGAGAGAAGTCAAGAATAATTAAAATACGCTTTGGCCAATCAAATAAATGGATATAGTCACCAGATGGTGCGAGATTTGTGCGCTTAACCGCTGCCTCCGTAAACAAAAATGCTTTTGAAATAATAACTTCAGATTAAACTGAACTAGGACTCGGACTTTTTAAAAAAGAAAATACGTAATTACTCATCATTTTGGTGACCTTAGTACTCAAAATAAAATAATTAGTTTTTTAGGAAAATATACGTAAGTCGCATGACTCTTTTTACATACCCTAGATCCGCCCCTGTTTAGGCCGTATTCTGTGGCACTAAAGGTCTCTTAGAAAACTTTCCTTGCCCCCCAAGGGGGACAACTTTTTAACACGACGGAGAAGTAGGATATATCTTAGAAAGTGTAAATTCACTTGTTTCCACCTTCAAAAAACCGCAGTTTTAAAGTATTTCACCATTGAAAATTCAATAATTTGATGTCTTTCGCAATCGATTGACGCGATTGTAGGATACGACATAAAATGCAGATTCCGCAGTTTTGCACTTATTTCTAAATGAAGTTTCCCCAAAACCCTATGTTCAGGGAAGCTTCAATTAGGAAGGTTTGGATGGCATTTTACCGTGTTTTGAGCAAGAATTTAACAGTTGTCAAAATGAACTAAACAGAAAACATGCACTTAAACTCATATGAGATATTTCAGACTATTTCTGCTTTATGAAGAGAAAATTTTGAGTAAAATTGGGAGCATATGTCTCTCATTTTTCGGCAACGCCTTCCGAGGTTAAGGACGAACACTTCTGTATATTCAAAACACTGTATTTCGGGAATTCTTCGAATCATTGTCTTTTTGTGTTTATTAAAGGTGAAAACGATTCAAAACTTGGCAGACAGCAAAGTATGGAATGTTACCCAAAAAATAGAATTGTTCTAATTCCACATTATATGATTCGTAAAACCAGTCAATTATAGTATGTTCTTGCGTTATCTCCTTTCTAAATATAAAAAAGGAGCACATTGAAAATCATTAATTCATACTAACCTAATAATAATTTACTGAATAAACCATATAACAAAACTTAACATACTTTGAGTAATATTAATAGCACATATAATGGTGTTCTGCAAAGAATGCTACTTGGAGGCAATAACTTTTTCGATAGTTGTCGTTTATTAGCTCTCATAAGAACAAAGTGAAACGAAAAAACGCGAGTTACGTTTTACTGGATATATTAAAGGCCGTCAGACGTGTATTTAAACTACGTGACACCTACATGCAATTAAAAATAAATCCGTTTTTCTTGTATTTTTTTAAAGATGTCGGGAAGACCAATTTCAAGGTTTATTTTTATTTTCTGGGGAGTGTGACATGAGTTTTGCTTCCTGTTGTTGTTCCCCACCAGCCTTTAAGCAAAACAATGCTTTATTTGTTTATAAATTTCCAAATAAGAAAATCTTATTATTGGAATTGCTATAAAATTTTTTGAAATATATTATGAATATAAGCAAATGTAATGTATTTCGTAATAAATCACCGATGTTATAGCAACAGTTCCGCCCGCTCATTTATTGAAAAGCTTAAATGAAAACAACTTGTTTGTGCGGATAAGCAGTCGGGTCATATAAAGCAGGCAAATTAGCTATGAAATATATTCTGATAAAACATTTTTGTTCACAACATTTTAAATATACGACATAGTGTTTTATAGCAAATTACTTTAAGACCAAATGAGTTGGTGACCAAATATGCCCCTGGCATCTGTAGAATACAATGAATGAAGCGTGAAGAACGAAAAACGTCAACTCTCAGAGACGTCGGTCAACTTCTTGTTGTCGGTTACGGAAGTAAATGAACCTGAAATTGACACACCCCTTTGTCTTGGGGAAAGTGGCTCCAAAACGCGATGCGGCTGTTTGCCGAACTTTTCAAGAAAAACAGTTATTTCTTCTCCACTAGTGGATTTTGCACTTTTATCGCTCTTTGGGCTCATTCCAATGACTGCTGCGAGTAAAATTTTTCATTTGTTATTAATGTCATTTTTTGCAAGGCATATTGTATTTACGCACGTTCAACAAATTTTTTACTCAGATCCTTTACTCCAGCATTCGGAGTTTAAACTTAGCATCAAGAAAGGATGCACAAACTAATCAAAAGGTTTCTGCCGCGATTGATGTTTTGTGGACTAACAATCACTTATGGCTTTAATACGTGACATCCATTACCTACCGGAATAATCGTCGTCGGTAACACTCATGAGTCTGGCTGTGTTCAAGCTACCACAATCTGCATCTTCTGCTTGAATCTCTAAAATACGCGGAGGATCGCCGTTTATGTAGTGAGCGAGCAATTTTTCGCCATTGTTCGGCAGCAGACACGGGCCTTTGTACGTGTTGCGACTTGAGACGCTTGACACCATACCATGCGTCAAAAATGTTTCCACAGAAGATGGCGAGGGCTGAAACAGGACATGATTAACATTTGTTTCCAAGAAATCGACCATGGCCGATCGCTCGCAAAACAATCGAATCTTTTCTTTTGTCCATCCATTGTATGAAGGATGATCCATGAGTATTGGGACGGCCATACGAATACTGCATACCCTCCACATGCTTTTACTCAGTGCTGGAAACATGCTCAAAGCCTTTTGCATTTTCTCAGTCGAAAGATAATAAACCTTAAAACATAAAGAATAGTTTAAAGCAGGGAGTGTCGTTGCATGTTTGTAGATGTATATCGTTCAGGTTCGTAGAGCCCTGAGAAGGATTATTGGTGTTGATGTTGAATGACTTTCCGCTAATCTAAGCGATACTTTCCGCTAATCTAATGACTTTCCGCTAACCTTGACCAAACGTCAGTCAGCATAAACACGAACAGTCCTTCTCAGAATTCTCTCAACCTTGATCTACAAACATGAAACTTTAAAGTAAAATGAACAATACTAGAGAAACTCTCATCCGATTTGGAATGTATATTTTGGAATCTGTTTCATTCCTCCTGTACATTTTTATCGCGTAAGTTATCAAAGCATACCTTAACATTGGTTTCGCATATGATAGACGCGCTTCTTGGAGAACCAACTAGTGAGCCCATTTCACCAATGACATTGCCAGCACTAAGATAATCTGTTTGGACAATCATTTCACCCAGTCTACTTTCATCGTGTTGTTTTAACGGCATTGACACGCCAATCATCTAAAGAAGATGAAATTAGTCATTCTTTGTTTCTTGTTGTTTGGTTTTGTCTTTGTAAAAGTTGCTGATTAAAGAGTGCAGATTAAAGATAAAACTCATTTGGGAAAACAAAACGAATCACAATTTGCATTATCTTTGCCACAATAGTCAAGGATGTAATTGGTGAACAAGAAGTCAAAAAGCTCAACATTCAAAATATTCCTTTTGTTTTTCTGTATCATACATGAGGATCTATAAAAGTGGAGCGACAATTAAGAGGTCTGGAAACTGTTGTGAAAAACATGGATGCCATTTAAGATTTCATTTTCGAAACTTCTGCTTTGAAAACTATTTTTAATGTCCGCTGATACCCTTACTTGGTCAATTTAATTGTTTAGTTTCTTCGTCAACCAAGTCAAAAAGTTGGATTTGATATTTAAAATTTACTGTTGTCGTTTATTAATAACATTGTTAAACAACAAACAAAAGTTAAGAGTATTTTAGTTATAATTTTACCTTTAAACAAAACATAAAATGCAAAAACCATTCCATAGAGAATCAGTTGTATTTATGTCCGTTATAAGCACATCAATATTGATCGAATAAGTATTATAAATAATTTTGAATGCATGTTATTTATTTAAATTTAGGGGAAAAATCACTAGCAAGCTTCTAAAATAACTTTTTTGACCCAGAAACGACGCAAATTTTTATATATCCACCAAAGATGCATAGAATATCCACGGATAACAGACTGATACAACGTTTATTCATTCAATCTAGGAAAAGGCTGCGAAAGCATTTGAGCACGCTTTTCCTGGTAGTTGACAATGGTTCTTCAAGCTCGCTTGTAATTGTTTTTACCTTCACAAGTCCGCTGATGATCAGATACATCCCATCAGATGTATCACCTTGTCTTACAATTGTTTCACCACTATCGAAGACCTTTTCTTCGGCAATGCCTGCTATATAATCGACAACTTCACTATCCATTTCTTCTAGCCATACAGTGCTTCGCAGTAGCACCTCCGGCAAAGGCGGAGAAATGTAAGATGGCGCGCTCAATTGTCGTTTCATTTTTACCTCGATCATCTATAAAAAAGTTCTTTGTCTAAATTGTATTACAGTAAGAAGTCTATCGTTCACCGTCGCAAGATAACGCATGCCCTGAATACAAGCTTATAGACACTATAAACTTCTCAATGCTACTGTACACGTTCATTTACAGCTTGGACAAAAAAACACCGGGAAAACGCTCTTTTGTAAACTCATTATTTGTGAAGGAAAACTGTTCTTTGTTAGGGTAATGTCTCGTGGATATGTCACTAGCAAACACGCAAAAGCAAACCTTTTCCAGTTTCATTGCTTCAGTTTCGTCCAGTAGGCCACCCCCACGAAGATTATGAATTGTATCCATCGCTGTGTTAAGGACGGAGCGAATCGACTGTCGTGTCTTTACGGAAATGGCGATACCGGGATATTCTTTTTGAAGAAGGCCTGATTCAGAATATATTAAAGCGCATGAAAAAGCCATTATGTTTCTAAATCACGATATTGTTATAAATAGCTATGTACTTGCAAAATAATTTGAATAATAACAGTTTTTGAAGTAGATGAGCGAGATGACAACACAAGCATAATGAATTTCAGAAAATCATTTGATTTTAATTCATTCCACAAAAACAAGACAGTCAAGCTCTTCAAAGAATTTTTCCTGTCTTGTGTGTACAAGTTTATTGAAGCACAACAAAATCCGTTCATTTCTTGATTTCAAAAAAACACACTCACCCAAACTCTTTACGACGTCCAACCGACTCTTCTCTAGTCTTGACTTGAGGTCACGTTCAACTCGATCGTCAGCAACCATATCGTGTAGATTCTTAGCAACCTCCTCTTCACCAACGATGAAACCCTTTCCGACGTCATAGCCAAAACTGAGCTGACGATGGATGATATTATTGATTATCGCTATGAATCTTGGCATAATTGTCTGCCAGAAAATGAGATTATGAATTAAATTGCAGAGTTTAATAAAACAAGGGGTTTGAGCTAGTATGCAGAATGATTAAATGTTCGTAAATTTTGCACGAGTACGTTTGTTGCAGGTAATATTTCGATAATATTTATCAATTTGATTGTGTGTGTTACTTATGTTAAAAAATTACCTTTATTAGCCGGAGCAAACGTCCCATTCTTAAGAATCTAAATACTCTTGCTACTCGTAGAATCGCAGGCGAAAAATTTCCAGTCGCGCCATTACTTGCGAGGTCAATAATGATGTCAATAGTGGAAAATAGTACAACGCTAATATCCAGTATATTCCAGTAGTCGCTGAAATAATAACGACCAAATGCAGCAATCTGAGGAAAAGAAGCATGTCAGTGTGTAATTGTCAGCGCACAAGGTTGGCAAAAACGTTTGATGACAAAAAACAGAACCTTCTCTACTATGGTTTTTCTGACAAGTAAAATAAAACGCAACATGAATAGGTTAAATTATGGCACATCTGTTCAAGCTAAATAGTTTCAGGAAATTTGGCCATTAATTTAAGCTTCAAGTTCGAGAATCATATACTTTTTCAAAACCCTTATAAATTAATCATACAAAAATTTAAGCGTTGTCAAAAAAACCTTAATTAATGTAACCATGAATAAGTAATAAGGTTTAATTAAAGAACGAGTCTGCACTGTTTTGCTTTGTGAGCTTAGCCATGCACAGTCAGCCATTTTCGGGGTACCCTAAAATGGCGACACAACAGGTTGTCAATCCTTTAATGAGGATTTATATTATGTATAATCTCTGATAATGGCTTTGGAATACAGGTTGCCAATGCAGAGATATGTCAACTTCGACTGGTAAGTACGGGAAATTTACGGTCAGCTAGGAAATGAAAAAGACATAACAAGCATTAAATTAACTAAAGATGTATTAAAGTAAATGGTTTGAACCCGGAGTATCTTTACATGTTTTTAGATGTAGATAGTCCAAGTTAGTATAGTCCTGAGAAGGACTGTTTTTGTTGTTGTTGACAGACGTTTCGAGAACCTTAGCTGTAATAATCTTCAGAGTCAAATGAAGAGTAAAGATCAGGTTAGCCGTATTTGTTATCTGGTTCTTACGTATACCAACTTGGAACAAACCCCCGTGAGCAGATCACAGCAATTACCGGCACCTTACAAACGACTTGTTCACAATACAACAAACGATCAACTAAAAACATTGCACTTCACACTAATCCACAATGACAATACACAATTGACACCCACACATTTCCTGTGGTTGAGCTAAGGTTGTCGAAACGTCAGTCAACAACAACAAAAACGGTCCTTCTCAGGACTATACTAACCAAGACGATCTACATCTACAAACATGTAAAGATGTATTCCTATTTGATCAGCCAGAAAGCATACTTGAGCTCGTTTGTCGATCGATGTTAATTAAAAAGCTTGAACGTCAGTACGTGGGTCGAGTTGGTTTATACACGACAGCCTGCTCTTCATGATCAGGTCGTTGAATTGGTGATCCAGATTAGTTTAAATCGTATTTATGTCGTCATTTCTATTATAGTTCAGTGGTCTGGATCTTATTTAAATTCCGTTCTCTTTTTGTGCAATATTGTAGGTAATTAATTATGCAACTCTGTATTCGACAGCGGAATTCATTAACAGAAGTAAACATAAGCGCGCAAAGCATTACCGTGGGACTCATTCTTTAAGAAAAAAGTATTTAACCCCGACGATATTTACTTTTTTTAACCCCCAGTATGATCTTGTAAACGTATGAGCAGGGATTTCCAAAATAGAAGTGACATATCAATAATATATCTCCAGAACAACACAGAAGATTTATATGTATAGGCAAAATCAAGTTATTACGTTATCAGGTCCTTTTTACGAAGCATTGGTCTTGTTTATTCGATAAAACAGTTCAGGAGATAACTAAAGTAGCCATAAAATACAGCTTTAAAGAATTTTGTTAACCAAGATCCATTGTGCGCTTTTGTTCATAAGGTTATTTTTTTGGTGTTGATGAAGATATTATAAATGTACGACCACCTACACACGTTTCTTTTTATCAAAAATTTAAGTAAATAAGAAGCAAATTCACTGTGCCTCTTTTCTGCAAATCCAGAAAAGTCTTTTTGTCTTCACCACTCTGCATACTTCTATTCGTAAGCGAAGCTGCTTTAAACATCAAGTTTTTATCTTATATGCTTAGGAAATAAGCCATTTCAAATAATGCCATTTTTACAGTAATTATTAAAATTCAACTAAGTTTCATAAAGTAGAATTAACAAAATCCGCCGTCACGCATTAATTAAAGTGCTACAGCAGCGAATTTTTTCGACCACTTTTTTATTTGCTTAATAAATATTCAGTCCTTTAGAAGCAATTTGATATTAAAATGACTATCATACGTCCACGAAAAGTGGATTAATTTTGCCTCCAAAGTTCGTTGCCGCACGCGAACTTCATTGCCGCCATATGACGTCACAACGATGATCAAGGTCGATAGGCTAATATTATTATTATAACGCGCTCGCTTTTCTCCTTGAATTCTTCTGCTTTTAAAGCGATTATTTTTAAACAAAGCTAACTCTACATCGAAGAGAATAGTAGCGTCGAAACAATGTCATTAAAAGAGTCGGCTAGCAGCAGAAATACGTCCGATAATCGTTCATCATTCAAGGGACGCTTCAGACAGCGTCGTAGCGATAGCACTTTGCTTCGTCGCCACTTTATAAAACAATAACATCGCATTGTTTAGCGTATTAAAAATGCAGTTGCAATAAATTCAGATGTGAAAGGAATAATGCAACAGACGTTAAAGCAAAAAATTACGAAACAATACGATTAAATTAGCGGTAAGTATTTATAATTGGGTACATGGCCTTGTATTGTAACACATGTCACTGTCAACTGTCAAAATAAAATATTTTATGCAATTATAATTCATATCATGAATAACTAATTTACTGAACTTTGTTTATTGCTTATAATGCAATTAGTTTTTTTAATCTACTAAATTTCTAGTTTTAACAACATGAACTATGTAATGCATAAAGAATAACACAAAGTATTTTTATATTTTAATGAACTCTGAGGTGCACTTGTCAAAGTTGCATATTGAGTTACTTAATGGTGCATTGGAGTATTGTTGCTGTAAAGAAATGGGATTAGTGATAAGAATGATGACTTTTGATGTCAGAATTGAACACATCAATTGTATCACTGAACATGATTTTGGACCCATGACTTTCCAAACAGTCTTGGATGTTGGCCCATTTATGAAGGACAGGAATGGACAACTTTATCGTTTGTATGGATCACAAATTGGAATGAGAGTGACCACAAACTAGGAAATTAAATGATCTTTTGTCAACTTCAGGTTTCATAGCATTACTGCTTCCAAATTAATTAGCCCAAACCAATATTATATTAATATCAGACATAATAAACAACACAGTCATGTCAAGAACAGAGTAACTCAAAATAAATGCAATTGACATGAAAGTATGCAGTAATAATGTACTATACCTGAATGAATTCAAAGTGGACTAGTTTTATGATGGATTTTTGAACATTGTGTAAGCATCATATTTTGCATTGTGATCCATTAAATCAAGCCACCCATCTCATGACAATGTCTGCGATTCATCTTCTTTGTTCTTTATTTCCTCAATCAAATCAAATTTGTAAACTTCCCAATTTTTCAAAAAAATGAAAATAAGAATTCTCTTTGAAGGCTGTGGTATGTTGCAATAGTGTGTAAATTCGTGTGTCTAAACATCAACATAGCATGATAATATTGAATGAAAACATCAAAATGCCAAAGCTTGTCATGGTATTGCCAACTGGAAATCTATCTAGCATAGGTTGACTTCTCAATGTGTTTACTGCATGCTTAATAGCGTTTGAACATTAAGTTCCGATGTCGGATGAATATCCACGGCGAAAATCATTTGCAGTCTCGCTTGTTGTTCCATGTTCAGTTCTTGAATAAGAAAACAAGAAATTCCGAGAAGACAGTCTTTTGCGGCGACGCACAATCCTAAATAAAATGAAATATCAATTAGACAAAGTCAACAATAAGATTATACTGAAATCACTATGTGCGTGCGCGCTCGTCCATAACGCAAGACGAATAATACATACCTGTCTTCGTTTTCTCTCTATTGCGAACTCCTCAGCCGCTGGAACAATTCCTGCCACATCAATAGTAGGAATGACACTGTGTTTCAACGTTGCTTTAGTATCGAGCGACTTAGTCAACGCAGGATTCATGTTATAATATGAATCGTCAAAGTTGGTTGATCAAAGATACGATGTAGCGGGAGCTTGACAATTTGGTCGATGTTTGGGGACAAAATTCTCCCACTTTCTCCGCCGTTTCGGATCTTTTTCTTCTTTAGTAACAAGATACAATCATATTCCTTCAATAAATTGTGTATTGGTGAACTTTCTAACTTTGGACAGCCAGCAACACAACTTCTACGTCTGCGAAGGCGTTTATTATTATTAGTTCTATACGCCATGTTTATGAGTGATCATCGTTGTGACGTCACAAGACAAAGAATATGTAGCGAAAATCGCAACTTTACAAAGCTATAAAATCTGTTAGAAGTGGCCAATCTTTATACTGTTTTCGGCAAAAGTGTTAGTAAAGTGCATATTTCGAAGAGAGTAAATAAAAAAAGTGGTCGAAAAATTCATGGCTGTAGCACTTTAACGCGCAATGATTTTGGTTGACACACATTTTTTTGGATATTTAAAGGTAGATTAAACTAAAGTAAAGAAATAAATGACTACATTAGCATTGAGCAAGAGTAAAGGCTCTTTTCCACTCATCGCAAAACGTACTCGCAAGCTCGCTGCGAGTGCCTGCGAGTAGAGAGTTTACGTTGCACGGTTTTTTACGACGGCGACCTCTTGTGTTTCACAACGCCGGCGCAAGCGTATTTTTAGTTTACGCAAATTTACAATGCCGCCCTAGCGGAAAAATAATTGGCGGGAATATAAATCAGAAAACATTGCTTTCAAAAAAATTCAAAAACAAAAAATGCCGAAGTGGAGAGCAATTCGAGAGCGTCTTTTTATGTCTTATTCGGATCAATCAATCGACGACGAAGACTTTATTTTCCTTTTTAACTTATATACTGCTAAAATTCCGTATTTGCCTTATTGGAAATACGAAGAGTTTGATTTAGATAAATTAAGCGACGACGAGTGTAAAGCAGAATTTTGGTTTATGAAATCACACATTTACACTCTTGTGGATGCTTTGAGGCTACCACAGTTTATTACATGTTATAACGGCCTTAAGGTTGATAGAGTTGAGACATTGGGCATATTTTTGAAACGTTTTGCCCACCCTTGTCGATACCTGGATATGTTGCCAAGATTTGGTAGACCAGTCCCTTAACTCTGTACGATCAGTAATGCTGTCATAAACTTTTTATACATGGAGTGCAACCGTTTGCTGTTAACATTTGATCAACCATTTGTTATCTTCAGGCAATATTCAAGAATTTTGTAATGCAGTGTTTCAGAAGAGTGGTGCCTTAGAAAAGTGTTTTAGTTTTGTCGATGGGACAGTACGTCTTATTTCTAAACCTGGTCAAAATCAAAGAGTTCTTTATAATGGCCATAGAACAGTCCATGCCAAAAAATTCCAGTCAGTTGCTGTTCCAAATGGTCTTGTGGCTAGTCTCTTTGGTCCTGTGGAGGGTAGACGCCATGACAGCGCAATAATTGCCCAATCCAGTTTATATAACAAGCTTCAGCAGCTGGATCCTTCGAAAAACGAAACTCCTGTTTAGATTTATGGTGACCCTGCCTATCCTCATCGACCTCAATTACAATGCCCATTTAAGGAGCAAGAATAACTCCTCAACAGCAACAATGGAACAGAGCAATGAGCAGTGTAAGAGTGTCTGTTGAATGGATTTTTGGGGACATAGTTAATTATTTTAAATTCCTTTACTTCAAATAGAACTTAAAAATACAACTTAGTGCAGTAGGGAAAATGTACACTTGTTGTACCTTACTTCATAATGCAAGATGCTGTTTTTATGGGTCTACAACCTCACAGTTCTTTGAACTTCAACCTCCATCTATTTTGTGTAAAAAGTTCAAAAATATTCAATCTTATCAAGTTGACTAATTGTTGAAAGGACAGAGTTAAGTCATCAGGAACATTTTTTAACATCACTCAAATATACTCTTGTTATGGATAACTTTATGAATGTTTCATCTATAATATCAATAACAGTAAATTGTGTATGTGAAAAAAGTTTGGTTTACTCTCAAGCAAAAATATATGCACTGTTTTAACAAAACATTTCAGTCTTTTTTAACAATATTCTGCATCAATGTTAGTAAAGCAGTGTTTTGAAGTTGCAGTTGATGCATTAGTTGCTCTTGCTGCTTTTGCTGAGCAGCAATGCTGTAAGTTAAGGCTTTAGTGAGAGCTTCCTGTTGAGAAATGATGTTGTTTTGTCGTTGTTTTCTTTCATCAGCTTCAGCTTCTCTCAACATCAATTCTTCTCTTTTAAGTTCTCCATCAACTTTTGACTTTAGTTGTAAATAGGCAATAGTTTCACTTCCATTGGATGACATTCTTCTTTTAGGTTTTTCACCATCTTTACTTTGAGATTTTCTTTTGTAAATTTCAGCTAATGTTTCCATTGACTGTTGTCTCATTTCCACAGCCTTTTCTACTTCTGCAAAAGAGTTTTTTTTTGTTTCTCTCCCAATATTTTCTCTTCTTCATCTCTATTTTTGAACAATTGAATAATTTCCTCAATAGACGTTTCTACTGCAGATGGCTCTGGAGAGATCCCAGAAGCTTTTTCCTCCTCTCTAATCTTTTCTTTTGTTGTTTTTGAATTAAAGTGTAGTGGTCTCAAACAGACTTTTGCGTCACGTTAAACTTTGGGCTATCCATATCATTTAAGAATCACTGATCATTTCTCATGCATTACCTCGTTGCTGTGATCCTTTTTTGAAGTTCCATGGATGGAAAAAGTACATTTCACGAACTAGAATTTCATTATGTTCATTTCTCCAAGTCATTGCTTTTTTGCTAAAATTAAAAAAATAATAAAGAATGCAAAGGAAACCAAACAAATAAACTAATTATAAATATATAATATTTCGTGTGATATAAAAAAATAATGAAATATTAGTTGAGTTGCAATATTTGAAAAAAAAATCGATTTAGTACTCTGTGTGTTAATTGGCCCTTATCTCAGTACAAACTGAGCATGACAATAACTTATTTCTAAAAAATGCTATAAACACTTAAAACTGTTCGATTCATACCTTTTTGTGTTTTGATGTTCATCCGCCATCTTGAACATGCAGGACGCGTCCAAAGAAGACGATTTCACGGCGTCGTCGCCAAAGGAAGCAGCCAAAATGTCAAGAACCATGCGCACTAGCATTAACTCCCAGCGTCGTCGTCAAAATGTGAAGTCTCGTAAACTCTCTAGTTACTCGCAGCGAGTTTACCATGACCTGGAGCATAGTTAAAATATTTCAACAAAATTTTTTGATCACCAGAACAAAATGTCCATTAGCCAATAAAATTTGTTGTAAATATCACGTGACTAGTCTTAAAACCAAAATGGCTGTAAACAGTGAAATATGCGTGTGGACCGATGCAAAGATTGAAATACTAGTGGAAAGTGCTAAAAAATACAGAGTGCTCTTTGATGTCACTAAAAAGAGTACAAGAAGTTCTTCAGGTTGTATTCTCAACATTTTATATTGATTGAATTTGTTTAATTGTTGACTGTTAATTTATATAATTAATATATCAAAACATTCTGTTTATGTAAATAACTATGTGTTATAACTGTTTAAAATGCACAACTTAAAAAATTTAAATGATTACAAAACCTTGTGGATTAATTTAATCATAAGTGTAATTGTGCATTAATTGTTCATCTAAATTCATTCAATTAATTGACAAAGCAATCTGCGTAATGCAAAATTGAAAAACAAAATTAAAGTACAATTGTGTTTATTTTTATTTTTTACACAAAACAAACAAAACAAAAGTCATAGCATGTTTGTTAAACAGAGACTGTAATGGCTTATTTAACACAAGGTATAACATTTTAAAGAATTGGTTTAATTTATGTCATTTCCATCTGACCTAACATGTTGCAACGGTCATGCAGTGTGCGAATTAGTTGAGAAAAAACGATGTGCAATTTTTTTTGACAAAAGTGTATCTTTAGAGGCATAATCAAATCGATATTACATTGATTATTAAACAGCGCTAATTGGCTAAATTAATATTTTTAAACGTGCACAAATTCATATGATTTACGACAGTGTTTTTCTTTACAACCGCTGATCCAGTTACAAATGTATGAAAGAAATTTTTTGTGCATGTTATTCTCTCCTCTTTTTTGTGCAATCTTTACAGCACAATAAATTCACCACTTGGCCATCATCCTATTACTCAAACAAGTCAGCGTTTGATGTTTCCATCCATTTTTTTAATGTATTAACTTTGCTGGTAGCTGCAACGTTTCGACGAAGATGGCAAGAAAGACAAAAGTGAAAAGAGAATAACCGAATATGCTTTTGCCTTCTGATTATTAACAGTAACATCCTTGATGTTTACTTACAATAAAAAACATCATATTTATGTCATATTACAAACAATATGTAAAAGCAAAAAGTATGGCTAATCAAGGTTGCCAGTTTGGCTCAATGTTCAGATCCAAATTTGCCTTCTTTTTCTCACGTTAGTCTTTCTTAAAATCAAAATTCCTTTTGGTTTATTTGTCAAATTTGGCTTATTTAGCTTTTTTTCGTCTTCTTTTAAGAATCAAAATCAAATGTTTCCTGATTTTAGTAAAAATACTCAAAATAGCTGTGATGCCAAAAACTGTACGTAACGGCAACAAAACAACGAAAATGCAAAAATTGACATTAATAATGTATTACACCCCTATTGTCATAAGCATACAAGCACCATGTATGTTGACTGTTGGCAGACTTCCCAGTCTCAAAGTGATAACGTCTTTGAATTTATCTGCTACCAGCAGATGGGGAGCTTGCATTCTAATGTGCTTTCCATCCATGGCTCCATAACAGTGAGGAAATTTCCACCTTTTTTCGAACTCTTCTGCTACTTTTTCCAACTCAAAAGAACTCTCTGGAGCTTTAATATATCCTTTCTTAAAGAGAGTAGACCAAATTGCTTCTGTAACTTCACCAATTATTTTATGTACTGTTGTCAAACCAATCCTGTAGTGGAATGATAAGCTTTGAGGGCTGTCACCAGACGCCAGATAACGTAAAGTCAAAGCAAACCTTTCCGACGGAGAAATAGCATCCCTTCTTGTACTTCATTTAGTGATAAGAGGCGCGACCAGAGACAGTAAAAAAGTAAAATGTTGAGGGAGCATTCTGAGGTAGCCGAAATAGCTTTCGTGATCTTCTTCTTTCATTTCTTTTACCAATCTGAAGTATTCCCCATGCTGTTGTCGTTTTCGAATATCGGTCTAACCCAAAAACGCTTTCTATACTTCTTGCATCTTCGCATACGACGTCTTAAATACAGTAATAACAAAATACGGCGATTGACAGCGGCCGCCAAATTGTAAACAAAAACGAACCGCCATGTAATATATTATAAAGTAAAGCCAAGAGTGGAAATTGGCAGCGCGAGCTGATACTTCTCGCAAGCTCACAGCGAGAGCATTTTGCGGTTATAAAACGTTGTCTACTATTGCTAACAACAGCAAATTAAGGTAAACCTGTCTGAAACAAAATGATTACTCTTTCTTTATTTCTATATAACCTGTCTGAAAGAAAATGATTACTCTTTCTCCATCAACTATCATCTCATAAAAATCTCGAGCTCTTATCTAATTATAAAGCAGATCGAAGTATCTTTACCTTAATCAAAGCCTCGGAGACGTAAATTAAACAAAATATGTAGTTGAGTATTCGTAGCACGATGTAATACGACACATTTGCATTGACACTTAACTCCATGATTATCGGAATCATGTTGACAACAATGAGAATGCTGATGCCTGTATCAAACCAGAAGTTCGTGACAATAAAGTACAATTTACGGCGTACTGAGTTGTCAGGAACAGGAATAACCTTGGTAGGATCTGTGTTTGTTAAAGTTTCAACTTTGTCTTTCTAGATAAAATAAAGTACAAAATACTTAACAGAGCAACTAACGGAAAGCTGTTCTAGGTTAAAAGAAACTTAAAGAAAAAACATTTTGTGCAAGATATGCAATATAAATTGCTGTAAATATAATGTAAGACTTTATTAAAAAAGTGACACAATCATTGATGTAAACACTGTTGCTCTTAAGGATCGTAACACAAGTAAACTCGTATTTGTACTGTCTCTAAAAAATACTTGGGTTTTTTCGGTCTATATTACTAATCTGTTCACAATCGTAGCTAAGAATATTTTGACATGCGGGATGAAGGTTGAAGAAATGGTTTCATTACCCGCAAAAGAGGAATATAAGTTAAAGTTAGTTACCAATTTTTGTAGATATGGCGGGACTTGCCAATGCACACTCAGATCAGATAACTCTATGCATCTGTAAATAGAAAACACATTCAGTAAATTTTTTTGTTTTATGTTTTGTGTTTCACACGCTTTCGTATTACCTGAAAAAGGCTGTCAAAGCAATGCCCTTTTACTTTGTTCTCGAAGGTAAGCTATTGTGAATAGTTGCAGTTTGTCCATTTTTACAAGCATTCAAGATTGGATTTTTTTAAAGATTATTTACTAAAACTACAAAAAAATGTCTACATAACTAATCGCAATTACTTCAAAAAAGCGATTTGACAAAAAAGTTCTTTTACAGCTCATTACAATAAAATATATTTATTACCCAAAATGCTTTGCGATTATTATATATGCTTGTTGGTTAGTTAATCTAATTCTTTAAACAAAGAAAGTTTGACTTTATTTTTTTCACACAGCATCGTAATCATCCAGTTTTAAAGACAAAACCTGGCGCATACGAGAGCTATGTGCTTAGCAAAATGTCATTTGTGCAAAGTGGTGTACGGTACTTGCTTTCGTTTGCGCGTGCTGTTTCCGGCGACTTGTGCCATTCCAAGCGGGACTGGCAAATATCTAACATTTTTGATACTTTTTGCCATGCGTAGCGTAGTGCTTTGTAGTTTTGTCCTTGTGCAGCGTCTTAAAGCAAATCGCTTTCGTGTTTTTATCACAGCGCATGCTCAATAAATTTTATATCAAACCAAAATGGTTGCCCTGGCTGAACAGCATGAATTGGTCGAAGGAGCACTTTTCGATTATAAACTAGTTGCTCTTAATTGCCCTGATTACCTATTCCTATATGACGTTCAATCAGATTTTAAAAACCGAGACAAAAGAGTGTCTGCTTTTTAGGAAATAGCGGAAAAACTTTCTCGAAATGGTAATTGTATTTGTTATTACATTCAGTATGACATTGCGTTTTAGCAACAGGCATAAAAGCGCTAATTCGTCTACTTCGGAATCGGAAAATCACAAAGAATTTAATTCATTTGAGCAAGACACCATTTTGGTTTGGCGTGAAATTTATTGGGCATGCGCTCTGATAGAAACACAAAAGCAATTTGCTTCAAGACGCCACACACGAACAAATGGAAAAAGCATTTCGCCACAAGTGGCAAAAACACCAGAAATGTTAGGTATTTGCCAGTCCTGCCTGGAGTGGCAAAAGTCTCCTGAAACAGCACGCGTAAACGAGAGCAACTAGCTTACGCCACATGGCACTAATGACATATTGCTAACCACATAGCTCTCGTGTGCGCTGGGCTTAACATTTATTGATTGTGACCAACCTGTCTTTAGTATCCATTGCCGTATCAGCCGTCGCCATGAGTGTTTGAACGGCGTCACGTGATAGCATTCCATGTTCAAACTGTTTCCAATAGCTCACCTTCTGAGCCTTAATCATCATCAATCTTCCTTCTTCTGTCATTTGAGCAAATTCTTTCGGAGAAGGTTGGTTTGGCACGCTAGCTGAGCAGCTTGGGCAGGTACTGTGTCGAATAACGAACAACATCTGTTTACCTTCCTCTTGCTATAACGAGATTGACAGCTTTACAATACAAATTTATTACAAGCTTGTTACTAAGAAAACGCCGTTAAAACGCGTTAATGGAATTTCTGTATGACTAATATATTCATCTCATTTGTCAAACAAAAACTTGAAATCGTTCATCTTGAAAAAACATTAAATTTTGTAACAAACGTATTATATGTAAGCTCGAACTTTAATCCATTTCTTTCATAAGAAACGCTTTAAATATATCTCCACGAAATAAATAATTCTAAAACATTTGGGCTTGATATAAAATGATTTATCATTCTATTGATAAATATAAAACATATAGCAATGAAAAATTTAATCCAAAGACAATTTTGCTGGCTTAAAGCATTTTTTTGATAAAAAATGATTGAACATTTGTTGCAGCATCACACCTAAATCTACTCCTCAGAAGAGTTTTTTCCTTTTATTTATTACCCTACCGAGGATTGAGGATATACCTCGTCTAACTCGTCCTCCATGTATGGATTGTGTATTTTACAAACGTTTTCCGCTAGGACCCAGTGTGCATCGGCGAGAAAGCGATCGGTGCGCAGCATCTTGAAAGTTCTTGCTGTGGTGTCCTGCAAACGCTTCACGGCATTTGCCATTGAAATTTTCCGGGAGTCCGATATCTCGCTCATTCCCAATAGCTCGAGCAAATTCCTCATTGTCGTTGCATTGAGAAATAATGTAAATATAACAATGCCCGCTGTGTGCAGTAAGATCTAGACAGACAGAAATGTGGCATGATAAAAAACGAAAAACAGCAAGAAATTGTTTTTGCAGCAGATGAATAGGGAATTTATTAAACCATTAAGGAATTAAAGAACTTGTTAAAAACTGTATCGCTTACTTTATTTCCCACGTGCTGGTAGTCCAAAGCAACTTGTAAGGCTAATGCAAGGCCAACTGCCCCGCGTAGGGATCCCCAACATAAAATCACGGCATTCTGCCACGATAGGCCATATCCAAGACGAGCGAGAAACGGACCGGATGTAAAAAGCAACAGTGCCCTTGAAAGAGTACCCATTGATAGATAAACTTCTACTGACTAATTGATTCGCAACTGCATTATAGACTATGATTGATTGGTTGATCAAAAATTTGTAAAAAAAAACTGCATTGTTGATTTGCGTTGATTGGTGGGAACGAAGGTACATTTTTTAAGTCTTTGAAAATCTGTTCAAAACGGAGTAAATATTTTTTCAAACCTATATATCTACGAAAAATATAGTTCAATATTTTCTCTATAAGTTGAAACATTTATATCTTTGAATTTTTGTTTTGTTCTTCTGATTTTTCAGTTAGTAACATCTTTTTAGCTTCTATGTAAATCTAATCATTACAATCTAAAAACAAATTCTTTGGAATTTTGCCATCCTAAGTAATTCCTGTAAAAGGCTAACTGCTAATTTTCAAAGTGTTCCAAGTTAAAAGCTTTTATCAATGAAAAACAGTTTCATTACATTAATATTCATACCATGAAAAATTTCAAGTAAGATGAATGAAATTATGATTTACAATTTTCAAAACTCTTATACGCTGTCACTTAGTATTTGCTAATTTGCAGAATAATGTAAACAATATTAAACAATATTTTAAACAATACCTTTAAATTTACCAAAAACTTGCTACAACACATATAATTATTAAAACTGAACAAAATAACTGAACTTAACATAGCTAAGCTGAATAATCATACTCTTCATATCTCTATCACAGTGTACTGATTCAATTAGTATCAAAATTTGTAATACGGAAATCCTCCTTACAATTGACCTACCTTATTACGGTTAGTCCAAGATAATCAACAATTATAAGAAATCCATCGTAGGTATCGAGTTCATTTAATGCTTTCTCAGTTATCACAACACCAACCATAATAAAAATAAGAGTATTAGCCAAGTACGCCAACATTTCCCAAAATCTATAAAAGTCAGAAATTGAAAGTTTTCGTGAAAGTATTAAAAGTATTATCTTCACAGGTAAATGTTATAATTAACAAAAAAATTGCAACCAATCTTCCACACATCAACTAAGTTTTGTGCTGAATATATTAACGTTAGTAGTTGAATGATTGAAAAAAGACATGTTCACAGAAAGAGCTTCAGTTTCATTGATTGCGGTTTTCCCATTAAATATAACTTGAGTGCATTACTTAACGATACTTTGGAGGTCAGGCTATGCAAAATGAAGTTCCTAATGTTAAAAATAAAGCCTACATGTCTGCACGCACTTGTGTAAAAAGACTTCAACTTCTGGACTAATGCTTGTTCTTTGAGAATTAATCTCAATGCCCAACATAACAACTGCAAGAACACCGGAGACGCCAAGAATTTCCTCGCCAATATAGTATGTAAGATAAGTCGATGCTAAGGTTATGGTAATTTCGACCATAGCGTCGTTGAACACTCGTTGCAACCAAAATACGACAATCTTGCCAATCACGAGACCAAAGAAAAAGCCACCCAAAGCAACACGTGGAAAATACAGACCGATCTCAGTCGCTGTGAAAAAAAACACACAAGAGTTCGAAGCGATGACTTCGTCCAGTAAAAATATATTTTTGAACTTGCTAAAATATTCGTGTCGAACACAATCAACCACCAATATAGATCGTCTTAAAAGATATATAAGCTAGCGCTACTTCCCGAATGTGAAAACCAGCGAAAAACATTATTTTCAGAAAACTTTTATTGTCAGCCTAAATTTTAGTGGCAAAGCGAGCCCATTTGCTTGGTAAATTTCGCACGTTTTTGAACGGAGACTGAAAAACTCACTCGAGCTTGTTTTTTCCAAATTGCATTCGAAACCATGCTACTACCTATACTAAGTGAACAGAGGTTTAGAGAAAAATGCTTACAGAACTAAATAAGCTAGCTATATAAGCCAAAGATAATGCTAGATGCCACTGCAATATGTTCAGACATTAGTAATTATTGTTTACTTTGCAAAATGTTGAGCTAAAACTTCTTCTAGTTTTCAAAATTCACAAAGGTTGATATTAATTACTAACCAGTCATCGAAGAGAAAGCAAGATTGTAAAATATCTTGTATAAGACAATCGCCATGCCATCGTTTAACAACGATTCTCCTTCAATGATGGTCGACAACTGTTTAGAAACACCTATTATGGAAGAATGCGCCTGTTTAGAGCGCAAGTTGTATAAAACCATATCGGGACACACTCAAATAATAAAAAAACATGCTAAAGTTTTACAAGTGGATCTTTGCAAAAAGAGTCCATATCATAAAGCAAATTTTTGCTGATTATCATTTTTTTGAAAGCATTCAAGCTTTACAATTTGTGGGAAAAAGTTATATCAAACCTTTACAATTTGTGGGAAAAAGTTATATAAACAGGGGGCAGTAAAAAAGAAAGTTTTTATGAAAATACGTGACCAGAAAAACACTTCGGTGTTTACAGTATTGACGAACTTGAGTGAAACAAAAACTTATGAATTCTGGATGTATTAAAAACTTTTGAATTTGGATGCAATAAAAGAAGGTAGAGATCCTACAAACTTTACGCACGTCTTAATTTACTATTAGAGAAGTCAACCTAGACATCCAAGGACTGTGCAAAGTTTCATACAACAACATTTCTTTCGACTTGCAATTTATAACGATTTCGAATATTTTTTTCATACTGCACAATGCAGCTATCAAACCTTGTAAATGGGATGACATGGGATATGGGATTGACTGAAAACAAACTTATTATATGTACAACCAAATGGAATATTTGATCGCTTGCTAAAGCCAATAGTTAAGTATAATTGAATTTATTCAATTAATAACTATCTTATTTTAAAATCGTGGCAAGAGATTTTCCAGGCGGAAAGCTAATTTTGATTTCATGATGAACATAACAGCCCAACATAGGGCTTCTACAAAAACTATTGCGACAATAAATCAGAAATAAAGATAAAAAGTTTTTTAATAATTACGTTTCGTTTTTAACTTAAGTCATATTCAGATTAAATGATAGAAATTTTTTCACGAGGCTTTAAAGACATACATTTAGCGTGTTTTAAATTACATATGAGGTTAGTAGGAAGTTTGGATGACAAAAAAGAATGGAAAGGGCAACATATTAGAGTAGGTGAAGGGGGACTGAGTTGCCTTGGGTGTTAAGAGAGGGTTTAAGCTTAGATATGAGAAGGCTTTCATGAATCATAAGGTCATAATTGTCAGAAAAAGAAGAGAGAATTGCGAAGTCGTTAATTCGGTAGAGTGAATTGCGTTTCTTATATGGGATAGAATTGCAGATGGTTTTGGACAAGAGAAATCAGGGATGTATTGCTATCGCTAATTGGAGGGGGCTCTTATTCATATATGCATGTTATACTACCGTAGATAACAATGCATTTCAAAAGATATTAATTCAGCATATCATGAATATATGAATAAGCCCCCATAACTAAAAGACGTTTCCCCCATATCTATATTTGTTTTCTTATTTATGCATACGATGCGATATTTTTGATTTCCTGTAAATTTGCTGCAGCAGCGGGCAACTTTCAATGATATCCTGACGGTCGTTAAAAGTTCTTTTGCAGTGTAACTGTTCACAAAGTGAAATTCAAATTTTTTAAATTGACTTATAAGCCGTCTAAATTGTTCAAAGAAAAATAAAAATGTGTTCAGATAGTACAGTTATCAATGCTAAACTGAATTTTACCACCAGAGTAAAAATCCAAAGTTTATTCTCAACTAGCCATATGGAGCATTTTACAATGCAAATTTCTTCATTATATAAATAAAAAATAAAAACGTAATTTACCGTTTAGAACAGTCCGTAATGAAAATTATTGCCTTTGGTCACGGGCCGCTTTCAAACCTCGTGAAAATATTTTTAGTACGGATCTACCGGCTGGTAAATAACATATACAAATTGTCGTTAGCGCATTTTAACAGCAATATTGAATTTAATGCAGTTGGTTTTTTGCAAAATATTCTATGTAAAATCCTACGGTAAAAAACAGGCTATGTATAAACTCATACACTATATGAATTAAATATCAAAGTTACATACCAATTTCATTTAGGAGAGCTACCACAGCAACTGGATCCGTTGCACTTACGATTGAACCAAACATAAGTGAAACAAACCAGTTCCAATTATACGTGAACACGAATTTTGCCATAACTCCAGCAAGAGCAGCAGCGACTGCCATGCAAACAACAGCCAGATAGACAATCTGTACAAACATATATAGTGTAATTGGTAGACGATTATTAACTGTGATACTAAAAGGCCTAGGCATAGGACAAAGTTTTTGGCATGAAATTTTGATTTTTTTATTTATTTCTGATAAATATTGGTGTATCTATTTGTAAAATCCACGTGGAATGCATATAAACCACTCAGCTCTTAGGGAGTGTTTACATGATCCCGGGTAACCGGGATTCAGTGAGGCGTGAAATGATTTCGAGGTATTGAAAGGAGTCGAAACTTCAAGCGTAAAGATTACAACTGTTTATTAAGCGTCACAAGTCATTCCTGTTGTAATTGTCAAATTAGGCCAAATTGGTTGTTGTAATTTTAAATGTTTTTTGTAGTTATCAAACCAGAATATTGCGAAATTGCTCGTGAAGATTTATCTGATGATAAGTATTGAATCGTTTCCATTTGCCAAAATCACTTATCGCTTCGTTGAATCCCGGCTACCCGGGCTCATGTAATCAGCCTCTTAGGCATGCCATATAAATTTTGTTCTATTGTTACATTTTGAAATACGAATTCAATTTTGTTTAATACAATGATTGATTACTTTTTTCAATTTAATTTGCACTGAATAAGTCATTACATGCATGTGAAGAATACAGGTTTATCTTAAAGGGATACTATATATTTTCTCTATGTTAACTCTTAACTGCAGTTTGCACACATAGAATTTCATATTTAAGTACAGTGAGATGATTTCTATAGGTTTGGGCCGTCTAGTCATACCACCAAATGGAATATACGCTCAAAACAATCTTCCGAGAAGTGATTCGAGCAAGTCATAAATCGAATTTTGCGCGAACTCGGATTAAAATTTGCGCTTCGTCTGGACAAATTTAACCCAAATTCTTCTCAAAGACTCGTCATTTGGGCTTTTATGCAAAGAAATGCCTGTAATTCTATCAGACATATTACTGCAATCTTGCACGACACAGTGTGTTGAAGGCATGTTAAAAAAATTGAGCTATACAGCCTTTTAAATCTCTATCTGTATATAGTGTTATAAACAGCCGCGAGTTAAGACTATGACGTCACAAGCATCTTCCTACTTGACAATTCAAATATGGCGCCTTTTAATGGCGGCTCTTAATGTTCAAGTTTTATCGCTACCTCACTCAAGCAGCATTAAATATTGCGATAACATTTCGCCAGAAGACATTTTTGTACATACACTATTAATCTATGAAAAAAAACAAGAGGCAAAATTTTCGTCATAGTAGCACTTTAACTAATCTCGCTGGTTGCTTATCCACTGCAAATGTGTGAATTACAAGGCTGGTCGAACGTTCCTATTCACCATGAACGATTATATATATTTACATTTATACCTGCCAAAACATTTTATAGAATGTATGAACGTCCATTGCAAACGCGGACTCAAACAACAAGATTGGTAAAAACACTGTTAGCAGAAGATGGGGATTTTCACTTGCCATGGTGGTATATCTGTGAAAATACATTGTATACAAACTATAGCGTTGAACTAAAACAGAATTATTCTTGAATAACTTAGCTAGGCTTATTTCACCGTGTATTACTGTATTTGCTACTTATAAACATGGAATAAAAATAGATACAAATTTCGTACATAATATAACAGACACAAAATGGTTAAAACAAGTGGAGTTGCAGCCTCTTCCTTGCATGTTAGACACGCGAAAAAGGAAAAGTTTTAACGGGATCAGAGCTTGCTGATATGTGTGTAGTCAACGTGCCTATATCACCCTCATGGGAAAAATTCAGATAGGGTTGAAAATTTGTAGTTAATATATTCGGTAAGACGAAAGTTTGATCTTCTTTTATTTTTTTGCCTCAAATCTGACTTTGTTCGCGTTTAACCGTGAGATGCTGTGACTGGGTGAAGTTCAACGGACGCGACGTACATTGGATTATATGCTGCTTTTCAACGCTATCGAATTATAGTGTAGTTAACAACAAAGTGCGCACTATTGCAGAAACTTAATAAAAATAAATTCGTCAACCTGCAAATATTACTATAAACTACAGCGTTGAAAGCTATGTGCTCTCAAAGGTACGTCACGTCCGGTGAACTAGAGGCCCAAATTAGGTGTCATCACTGATCTTCAAAAAAGACAAGATCAAGCAACTGTATATTTGTAGAAAACAAATTATGAAGCCAACGTCGCCGTTAGTAAGGGACCAACACATTGAAAGATTTTTTTAACAAAACTATGGAAAACATAGCAAAACATAGCGAAATCTTGCTTTAAGGTAACGCAGAAGATGAAAAACAACCTTTATGGTGATAGTAAAGAGAGTCAGAATGAATAATCGGTCGTATAAAATGAAAGGCATACAGGTTTCACTTCGAATAACTCGTAAAAAACGCTTGTAATTTTAAAGGATTGACCAGTTTATGATCGTGTATGAGAGTATTTAATCAGTTTGTACTTCTGAACTACGATTCCAACAATTATAGGTATTTCCATGCTGTTGTGGGCAATTTTCCACAGTTTTTCCATACCACAGTAGAGTTACCGATGACAAAAATCGTTGCATTTTGACCATATTTCATCATATTTCATCGTATTTTTAGCTCTTCTATAAAATGATTTATCTCTTAGTTATGTTCATGTAGTTACATGTTGAAAATTATTGATTATTCTCGCATAAATCCACAATATATTTTCTCCTTATTTTCGAAAGTTGGTCCCTTAGTAATGGCGGCGCTCCTTATTTTTTTGTCTTCAACTTTTGTGCTAGATGCTTGATCCAGTCTTATTTCGAGATCAGTGGGTGTCATGCACTGAAGCAGCGCTCATTACAAATAAAAAAATAAAAAGTTTACAAAGCGCACATTTGAACATCGGTAAAACTAGCGGAAAACACGCCAAACACCAGTCCGAACAAGATGAGCAAAACAGTATACGGTATCGGCCATCCTTTCATCAGCTGTCGACATAATGCTGGAAGAAGTGAGAAAATTATTTTCAAGGCTAACATTCAAAAACATTATTAGCTATGATAATTGTTAAAATATAAGTAGCAACTTGTTCTATTGCACTGTTTTTGATCTTTTATATTATGTTATCACTCACCACATTTCAGTACAAAAATAAAACTAACAAGACAATATATACATAGGAAGAGATTTTTAAAACAGCAAACAGCAATAATAAAATGCAAACAGCAAAAAGACACAAACTGAAAAAAAATGAAATTGACAATTTTTTCATGCCCACTGCTTTGATTGAATTTTGAATTTTTGTTTGGAAAATAATAAATTGACAAAAAAGAAATACATTCAAATCAGATCGTTTTAAAACAAAACTTACCTCCAATACAGCAAGCTGTAAATAAAAAGAGGACAGCGTAAGGTTGGTAGTGAGCGTCATGTGCATTATACTCTTGGGTCGTGTTGTTTGCCATTTTGCCTGAAACTACAGTGTGACGAGTAAGCAAAAATAGAATAACAACTTGCGGAGTTTCACATTTTTCGAATTTTGTATAACTTGTTTAATAGTAATTAAACATTAGAATGCTTCTAGTGAGTAATTGGAGCTTTTATGACATCACAGTCGAAACGCTTGCGCACTTTGCATTGCAGCTCTTGTGACGCTTTGATTGTACAGTAATTTCATAAATGAAGACTGAACAGTTTGTATGCAACTTGCGATTGCTTTTACGTTTTTATAAAAGCAAAAAATTGGTTTTGTCATAAGTTTCTTAAATGAAACGATCTTTACTTGTTTTAATCAAAATCGGGAAGATACGGCAATCAGAGCTGTGTTGACTTTCATCTGTTCATGAAATATTAGTACGTGATTTGCCAAAAAGTAAACCAGACTCTTTGCATCCTTTCCCTTAATCCTGATCTTTATATAGTAGTGCACGGATACATACTTTACCAAAAAATTGCATTATAATATGCTTTTTAGAAGTTCTAAAGTCAATTGTGTAGTATGCTAAACGTATTTCAATGAAAGTACGAGTGCAAAAGTGTGCTCTTGTTCGTTATGGCTACTCATTACTGAGTGTTTTACTTTGCACTTTACATCACACGAATTTTAATTCACCGAAAACGAAATGTCGGCGGACTGATACTTAACTATGCTTTATTAATCAGTAGCTAAACATTGATTTAGTCACAGTATAGAAAACAAACAGTAGTCCCACTCTATAGAAATTTTTTGGGAAGCGTATATCTTATTACACATGTGATTAGTATGTAGTAAATTGTATTTTCTGACCAATATGAACGCTTAGGTGGCTAGCTGCAGCCAGTAATCTAATTTAATATTGGTGGGTTGCAATCATCCCCTGAGAGTAAGAGAGCAATGGAATGCTGGCCCTGTTGGATGAATGATTGCATTGTAAATAAGGAAAATCCTTTGTTAAAATCATTCAACATGGCGACTAAGACGTAGCTTGCAACCCAGGAGTACAGCACCAAGTTGAACAGTGAAATGAGAATACGGTTTGTTTCTAATTTCCATACTGTGATTTAGTGCTCTTCTCTTAATGATCACTACAGTATACGTTATTTCCGAGTGGAAGGTTCGGAAAAAAATATTTCCCCGAGGTCTCAAAAATGCATTCAAGACAATGCAAATATCTCATCAAGTTATTATTCATTTATTTAGAAAATCAATTCCATTCATTGTTTTTCAGAAAATATGTACTATTATTATAACTATATCTATTACAGTCTCGCGTAGCGTGTAGTAACGCACGCGGAGCGCGTATAGGCTCTTTTCCACTCATCGCAAAATGCTCTCGCTGCGAGCTTGCGAGTACGTTTTGCGATGAATGGAAAACAGCCTTAACAGCTATTGGTAAGAGCCCTATATCTATGGTAAGAGCGCGTAACAGCCATTGAGTTCTATAATAACTGGAGCGGCTATCTCAAGCGCGGCCTTAGATATCTGATGACGCCAAAAAAATGGCGGATTTCGTCCGTTGCCGCTGAGATTTACCGAAATTGATCGCTTTTCCGAAAATTTTACAATTTCCCACTCCCTCCTGAGGAAAGAGTGAGGAAAATGTATGTGTGTATTTGGGATTCGGCAAGCAATTTTTTGATGAAAATCAAGGTAAAAACCTTAAATTCATAACAGCGAGTCAACTGTGGTTGCCAGTTATGTGCTCCTACGAGGATGCATTTATAACTATCGACGAAAGAGCTATATGTCGGCTACACATGTATGAATGCAGATGTGCGTCGTTTTTTTACCAGCGTCAAACTTGTTTGATCGATTAAACTCTTTAGTCTATACAAAAAAGTATATCACAGTTCATCTCCACGGTTCACGAGAGAGAAGTTAGCTTATTTGTTATCATTGCTATTTTGCTTCTTTTCATGATGCAATGGGCAATGGCTTTTTTCGCCACAATTGTTGGATTTTTACTTGTTTCTTTAAAAAAGTAAATATTAAATCTCTGGATATTTACGGATTTTCTGTAATTGAGTTTCATATTAAATTTCAAAAAGACTCAAGTCTGCATAGGTTTGGTAAATGAAAACAAACAATATTGTATAGAAATTACTTTAAGTAACCTTTTTGTGATGTTCTGAAGTGCAAGTGCATCAAATACTTGTAAAGTTGTAGCACATTTTGATTTTGTTGTATTGATATATGAATTGGGCAAAATGCAAATAATCATCAAAACACTTATGCTTCCCTTCCAATGGTGTTTATAATTCATTTGTAGTTTTAATACTTCTACCCTTCTTTTTCACTTTGTTTTGTTTTTCCTATATTTGCAAATAAGTACACAATTTGAATGATTAACACAGTTTTCACCTCAATAATAAATTTCATAAGCAGTTGGTAGTGCATTTTGTTCTCTGAGTATCCACATCTGGTGTTTTGTTCATACAAGAATGATGAAGTGCAAGTAGATATGTCATAGCAAGGCAATATAACCAAATCAATCAAATACCTATAGTGTATTTTTATGCTAGAAGCTTAAAAGCTTTTTAGAAATTATAAAGTTATTGGATTATATTAACCATATATCATCAATCTCATGAAAGAAATAAGAAGCAAAAATTTGTAGGAAAGCTTTGAAAAGTGAAAACTTTTCTTTAAAAAGTAGCAATAATGCATATGATAAATCTCCATTCTGTACTTTACTAGGTAAATAAGCTCAAACTGTTTCTTAAAGCAAAACTGTTATAATGAAGAAATATACAGTACAGTAACTTTAAAGTTTCATCACTGAATCTTTAATGCTTCAGTGTAGTGCATTAGATATTAGTAACATTTATACAACACTCAACTAAAATATTTTGATAAAGATATGACATGATTTAAACATTAAGTTATATAAAACCCAATGGCTTATACAGTTTGATGCTTCACATCTGCATCAAGTCATCAATCTCAGTACAAATGTTTACATAGACACAAACTTTATGGCTTTCCATTTTATATCTTTGTGAATTGACAATTCATTAAGCATCAAAACACACACAACCTTGCCATCTTTCTTTGGTTCATGAACTTTAACTTCAAAGCATTCAAGGCATCCTTAGTGAATCCATTGTCTCCATCCATAGAATTTGACCATGATCAAATTAAATAACTCTGGATAGGGCAGACAATAAATCAATTATCTTTACAGCATTATCATTTTTTTAAGACTCTGCCTGGTCAATAACATCTTCCAGTCATCTTTACTCCTTGGTCTTCCCTGCATGTTGTCAGCAAATAGAACATAACAAGCTCTGCTCCAAATCATGGGTACTCTTGAGGCTGATCATTTCGTTTTGATACTTACTCACAGAGCAAAATGTGTGCAGGGTCTTTTTTGCTTTAGGGAAACTATTTTGCAAATAGATGGGTAAATTTACGATTTTATGTATTAACAAATGACAGAAAAGTATGCTGAGTTTTATAAACAAAAACAGGAAAACATCAGTATATTTGGCGTTCAAGTCAGTCTTAAAAAATACGATCTTTAATATGTATGTTATGGCTCTTCAAGTGCATGTATAATTGCTTTTCAATCTTTGACGGACTAACAAAACAAACAACTACCTCACCTGTGAGAAGCGATATGTTCCTTTTTGTGGAAACTACGACATCCAACAATTGAACGATTGAAGTGTTGGCATTATAAAAGAAATGCCAAAAAAGAATCGTCACAGAATATGGAACTAACGATATCCATATTCTGTGATATTCTGTGATATTCTGTGATATCGTGTTGGTTTTTGAAAAATTCTTTATAATTTACTATAGACACCAGGGGGAGGTCGAGAATATTATTTTTCTGCAAAGCGATCATTTCAGCGGAAATACGTCCGTTGGCCGCCATTTTTTTGGCGACCTCGCCCCAGTAAAGTTAGCTGCTCCAGTTATTATAGAACTCAATGGTAACAGCCATTGGCAAAAATTTCAGATTCTTTGCAAAGAAAATTTTCTAATCTTACGTTCAATACGTTGTACTATACCAAATTTCTCAATCTTACCATGTTTACATCGACATGCTCCAATATTCTCCACGAATGTGCATTCTTCAGAGCTGTTCGTTTGAAGACATCCAAATCAACGAAGCCAAACAATACGTGTTTAAATTACTACAAATTTTTTAATGATTACACTGATGAGTGCAAATTACCACTGCTTGAAATGTTCACAAAGGTTAGTTGACAAGAGATTATAAATCAACAAAAAGACAGAAGATGGGTTGAGATGAAGTCAGGTAGACTCTCCCTCTCCCCCAAAAATTGCCTGCAGTGTGACCATTTATGCGTGATTTAATCAGAGCCCTTACCCCTACCCTATGTTGCAAATGTTGTAGTCATATGAAGCGAGAAGGGTTGTGAAAATGCATCAGATCAAATCTTGTGACTAAATTTTCAAACTGGCACTGGCTGGCTAAGCAAATAAAATTAGTATAAGAAAGAAATCTTGGCAATTAGTTAATATGTTATATCCTATTCAATCTGTACAGTTTTGCAGTTTTACTCTTGTACACTTTAATTTCCCGACTTTCTAATTTCTGCCATGGACTACCCTAGACTGTTTGGAGAGCTCTGCCATGCATAGCTCAAGAACAATAATTGAGTTTGATCGCATGAAACTACGTTAATAAATGGACTAGTGATCAAGGTTTCTTGGTACAAGTTATTGAATTGTTTTGCTAGATAAAGGGATTGTGCTGCACAGTTATAATCAACTACTTATGAATGGAAATTCAGGGATAATAATATTCAAAGAGATTTATTTATACATAAATCAGATATACTGGTCTTAGATACCTTTTAATTCTCATACAACTTAAATGATCATTCTGTGCAGTGGTCTGATATATACAATTGAATAGCATATTGCATAGCGTATTTCATTAACAATTGACCTTTTGTAGTAATGATCAGTCTGTTAACTTTGAATAGCTATATTGAACTTGTAAAACTTAAAATGGCAGTTAACTGTAGCAAATCAAAAAAGGTGGATTAAAATATTTGAGAAAACTTAAATTGGGTATCTACAGGTCATATTCTTATGATTAGATGAAATTTGCTCTATTTCTCAGAGAACATTTCTGGAATATTAGTGCTTAGTCATAAAATATGTTTGGTTATTATCTTTATGTGCATTGCTCTGGGAAAAAAACTGTTCAACTATCAAACATACAATGTTCACAACAGATGACTAATTCCATATTTACTGACTTTTTAGGAGGAGTGTTCTCTGTGTGATGAAGCAAAGGAAATCCTGATACCATACTCTCACTTGGTAAGTACTCCTTTAATCTTTCCAGCTAAAGTGCAAAACTCCTTTAACTGGATTTGTTAAGAAGTGGGCACAAATATTACAAATAATACCTTAGCTGTAACTACTTGCAGTGTACAACCTGGCAGATGTTTGCTTGGTTAGGTTTAAATTCATTTCTGGTTTGATTATTACTAACATATTAGTAGTAATACCAAGCCACCTGCAACATCATGCATGAATTGATCTCTTCTCTTCCAACCATCGACCAAATATCTGAGAGTGCACTGTACAAAATATTGCCTACAAATTCATTTAGCATATCTTTATTGCCACTTGTAAAATAGTCTTTTAAAAACACGGGTGCTTTTTTGAATGCTCAAAAATCCAGGAATTCCAGTCTCGCAAAAATCTCGCAGGTTGCAAGATAATGTAATTAGCATTCACAACAGTTTAATGGATTTGATAGTCCAGGGCATGGTGGAAAATGCGGAGTGTGTCTAGTCCTAATCCAAAGATAGATACATGATACATCTAACACAGACTCTGCATTTTCCACTTTATGCCTCCATTAAGAGGAAAATGCGGAGTCCATGTTGTAAGCATGTGATTCGAGGAGACTTCGCACTCCGACTCCACACTCCGCATTTTCCACCATGCCGATAGTTCTGCCCTCTGGGATTTCACAGGTTTTGTACGGTATTAAAGCAAAACAAGTTAAAAATATTGTCAAACACTGATTCTCATCTCAATTTTATTACCAAGGGTCTTGTAAAATGAAAACGACATAAGTTATAACAGCCTTACAGCGTTTGATATTTCCATACGTTGCCAACGAACGTGGACAAACTAGCTTGAATTAACCAAGCAGAACAAATGCTATTGCAGACTAAATTATCTTATGCAGTTTTCATTTGAATACACACACAATCATTTTTGCGGGTTCCGTTTTGGGATCCTGTCTCATTTCTTCCATTTTTTTCCTGCGTATACAACTATATATAGAAACACAGATAATGCTTTATAAAATTGAAAATTTCGACATGCATCTGTTTCCAGTATCCTGACTTATTTTGCTCTTTTTACGCTGAAACAACAAAGTTTGGCTCAGACACTATAGTCAAGCGCACAATTTCATTTTCATCACCAAGACACGTGTAGAGTTTTCTTCCAGGAAATAATTACATTTTCTGTGATGGTTGGTTACACACTTCAAATTATCTCTGCATGGTGTTTGTGTTTAAAAGGTTCTAGTGAAGTTCCAACGAACGTAATAGAAAGCGTTACGTTTAAAAACGTGTAGCGTCAAAGGTGATTTAAATTTGAATAATAAAACCTTCCTCATTTTGCGCCTATGGTCAAGAACTATTGCAAAACCTCACCATAGTTAATAGCCGTACGGCGTTACAGTAAGCATAGCTGCTGGACTATTTGTTGGAAAAGGAAAATAAAAATTTTGAGCATAATGGATGAGGAATTCTTCCTTAAGAAATGAAAGAATTCATCAAGAAATGGAATAGAATTCTTCGTTACGAACTTTTCCCCAGCGGTGTTTCTACATTTAGTCACAGAATAATGATTATACAGAACGGTCACTCAGGTGTACAAAGCGTCCTCACGTCGGCCATTATTCTAGCCAGATGATTAGGATTTCTCACTTGTTTCCAACCATTAAAATTCCATGACGTCAACTTAATAATGAATTCAGGATTATTTTGAATTAAGAAATGACTTTGGATCATTTTAAAGGTTTGGAAAAAGTCAAAAACCCTAATCATCTGGCTGTAATAATGGCGGCCACCATGCGCGGCACGACATACGCGAGGACGAAAACATCAAAGGTTCCGACACGAGTGACCAGTGCTCTCACTTTTAAGGAATTATCCTTAAAAATAGGATTTTCTAAAGTTGAGGATATTTTCAAGGATGTTTTTATACTTTAAATCAATATACACTTGATAATATTTGATATTTTATTACAAATACAACGTTGAGAAACTTGAAAACAGCAAAAAACGAGGAAGAACCATGAAAAAACACTTTTGAGCCAATGTAATTTTTACAAATTTAAGGAATTTAATGGAAATTTGAGGAATTTTTGAGCATTTTCTAAAGAACTAGGAAATTTGATTGTGAGAGCACTGCGAGTGACTCTTCTGTACATTCTTATTCTGTGATTTAGTTTAGTTAAAGTTTTTAATAACGTTTGTGTATTAACCACTTACCGAGTCAGTAATTTTATTCGCAATATATTTATTTAGTTTGCGTTCAAGGAGATCGATATAACTTTAACAGAGAACAAAAAATGGTTTGAGAAGTATAGATACGATATTCCTGTGTTTCATCTTAATGGGGAATATTTGATGCGGCACAGAGTACATCTTGGATTACTTCGACGAAAATTAAACGAAATTTATGGTCTTCCATCCAAACAATGAACTTTACGATATTTGCGGGTGAGTTTGAGAGGCTCATTTTCTTCGGACGAGTTTTATGCCAATCATCCATGAACCACTACCACTTTGCGTCACAAAATTAAGAATATAAAGAAAGCCCACTCCATTGAAAATTTTTGTGCTACGCATAAAAATTGTCATGCACAAAGCCCTATATAGAAAAAAGTTGGAGCACTGGAAGTAAAATTGCTTAGCGTTCGCTATTTTTGTTCCAAAAGCCAGCAAGTATAGAGCATTATGTTAAATAATCGTAAATAATCCTCCAAGAATGTTAATACTTTATTAGACAAAATATACCATGTGCTAACACAACCGAATAACAGTTACTGTCACGTGATTGAAGTAATTATCATAAATGAATAATTATTACTTCCTTACACATTAAATGGTGGAAAGACAAATCATCTGTTGTATTTTCTTATTCATGAATAGACAGCGATCTCACTACCTTAGGAATTCGGGTATCGGTTGCACGAAGCCTGGATAGCGTTATCCATTGGATAGCAAAATTTTCAATGAGGAATTTCATCTCATTATCTTTTATTTATAATGAATTCGGCACTTGTAAAGTTGGCGATTGAACTAGGCCTAAGAGATTATTTAAACGTTGAGAAAGTTGCTATCCAGTGAATAGCACTATTCGGCCTTCGTGCAACCGGCCCCAGTTTATAGACGTAATAATAATAGAAACGTAAATGGTTTGAACCCGGGAGTATCGTTACATGTTTGTAAATGTCGATCGTCCAGGTTGGTATAGTCCTTAGAAGGACTGTTTTTGTTGTTGTTGACTGACGTTCGACTCTGAAGATGACTACCGCTAAGGTTGTCGAAACGTCAGTCAACAACAACAAACGGAGTCTATCTCAGGACTATACCAACCTGGACGATCGACATTTACAAACATGTAATAATAGAAAAGCATTTATTCAATGCAGTGGATTAAATTTAGACGCCTTTCATACTGTTTTTGCCACAAGGGAGTACGTAGGCTTCCATTCTTCATCGCTTTCATTGGCATGATTGTAAAGCAAAATAAAACCATTGTAAACATTTTTTATTATTTCTCTTAAGTAAAAAATGGTAATATTAGCGCTTCTGGAAGGAAAATAGCTGGATAGATACCCATGTGCACTTTTTACCCAATACCTTGATCATAATGCAAAATGCAGAGAACAATACATTTCCCAACTCTTACTAACACCTGGCGCGGGTCATGCATGTGATTACCATAATGGCAGCTAGTTTATTGCCTTTTTAGACAAATAGTAATAATGAAATGGCCAGCAACAGCTAATAAATGTAGCTAAACATACAGCATCGAGTTTCAAAGCGAAGTGGGCCTTCTGTATACCATTATTTTGCGCTTCTAGTCAAGCGCTTGAAGATATTTGAAGGTGGACAAGTTAGTTCATCCTCCGCTGATTACGGGAAGTAAATAAAGAGTAATCTTCTGATAGGATTTTAATTATCTAGTTATCTATGCGTCCAATCATTGGGTTAGAGCAATGATGAAATTACTGTCAAACTTTTTTAAAGACAGTTATGAACGTTTGACAGTCTGCAAATTTGGAAACTTCTTTTACCTCATAAAAATTCTGCTTATATTCTTTTAAATTGTATATTAAATTGCATTTATTTTGTATGAACGTAACTAGTTGATCTGCTAAATTTATGTCAATGAATATTTGAAGAATAGAACGAAAGGAGTCGTGCATTTCCAGACACAATCTACCATACACTGATTGATTCGATGTAAAATAAATATTGCAAACGAGTAAAAGCGATGCGCTAGAAGCAAGTAAACAAGGAGAAGCCGGTCAAACTCACTCATTTCTGTGGGTTTTTGTCTTTAAAACACTTCGAGCAGAAGCCATTTGTGTTCGGGGAACCGAAGAATTCGCAACCAGGAGTTGGACATTGCGCAGAAATTTCCTTCAATGTTTTTGGAGTTTCGTTACCAGAACTGTTCGACGATTGGCCCATTATATTGGTCGATAATTCGCCTGTCGCTTCGGCATGGGAAGGCGGCGTGAGAGATGAATTTGAAGATTTTGTTAAATTCACAAGCGATTCGAACTGGTTTTTATAGCAATTAGAACACAGATAGCTATTTTCGACAGTGCCGTATAAATCGCAACCTTCACTCATACATTTTAAACGTTCTTGCTGTTGAGGCGTAATTACTCTTGTCTTTTCTTCAAAATCAAATCGTTCCTTCGCATTTTTTAAATACCTTGACATCACTTCGTCGTAAAAAGTCGGTTGGTTTTCGCAAGGGACTACAACGACCGGTATCTTTTGCGGTGTTTCGCCATTGTTAGGCGTAGAATCGCCATTTGCATTAGATTTAGTTTCGGTGGCGTTTGGGTGGGAAGAATCAGTTTCCCGTAATTTTGTTCTGTTTAGATCAATTTCAACTACGTCAAGATATTTTTTCACTAGAGCCAATCTTTCCTCCTCACTAAGGGATTTTTTACTAACAATGTTTTCGCTGCTTTCGGAATCAAGATAATTCCAGTTCATGTCTGGTTTGACGGCAAACGGCAATGATAAAATATCCAAGTCTTTGTTTACAATTGGTATGCCCGCATTTATATCTTTTATTGGAGGGGAAATAAACGATTTTGCCGCATGAAGGGTTGATTTAGTCATGTCGTACAACGAAAACATCGCATTTTGAATGACAGAGTTTGTAATTGATGCTGTTCGGGAATGTCCATTTCGAGATTTCTTTGTTTCGCTCTCCGATTTTGCGGAAGAATCACTTTCTAGAAAGCAAACAAACTAATATCAGAAGCCATAGGAACACAAGACACAAAACTCGACTTTGTATATAAATAATAAGGTTTTGACTTTTGTCACTGAAGTTTATTCAAAAAAATGGTGTAAACTTTTCCTTGACGAACAATAGGGAATAACATGTTTTCCCACCAATCAAAACATTTGCGAGCGTTTTTATTATGCGCCAATCAGCTCGCACCAAATTGCAATTATGCTGGGGAAAACTCAAGAATTTTGGCACAAATATAGATGGATTTCAGGACTGTACGTAAGGGAAGCGCGGAGAGAAAACTACATGAATCACAAAAAAGCTTCCATATTAAGAAAATGCCGCGGAAATTTTCAATGCCTAGTGTACGAATTGTTGCACACATTAGAGAATCCTTACTTATCTTCAGCAGTATTTTTCGATGAATTGCTAAACTATAATGTGTTTCGTATTTTTACCGGATTGTCATGGATCTTGTCACCCAGCAATTACACAATAGTTACATATTCGTTATGTAGATACCTATCATTGTCATGTTTTTCATTGACATTTTTTCATAATTATTATACTGTTCGGAAGCGTCGCTTCCAGAGAAAAAGCGCGCTTGATTGATTTACAAGCAATTTTGGCGGTGCATTAAAAAAGAAAATATTTTTTCTAAGTAATATTTTGTGCCAGTGTCATACATCGTAAAGAAAATTGCTGCAGCAGATAATTTAACTTAATATGGTTTGTTTTGTTGAAGATATGGTTTAAACTTGCGACTGAGATTGGTTTATACACTTCACAGGTGATGAATGTGTGCTCGTATGTGTTTCAAGTTTTGGATTAACGACTACAACTTTAAAGTAAATGTTTCGAACCTGGGAGTATCGTTACATGTTTGTAGGTGTAGATCGTCCACGTTAGTATAGTCCTGAAACTAGCTGCCATGTTTACTTATTTTGTTTTTTTCTCGACAAAAACTATGAAAAGCAGCCGCGTCTCTGAAATTAAAATAGAATGTGTAACAAATTTCCTAAGTGGTTGCAATTTTGACTTTTCTGATCAACGTCGAATGAAAAATTGCTGTGATTATTGAATGTAGAAATTCTCCAATGTAAAGCGACGAAAAACGAAATGCCAGTATTAATTACCTGAGCTGGTATCATTTGAACTAGTACATACACCGTTTCCATTGGCTCGCAGTTTGGATGGTACGGTAGCCACAATGGGCGAAAAGTGTGACGAGCAAAAAGCTAGCACTAACGGCGAACGGCAACATTCTGCGGGCTCATATTCAATGGGTAGGTAAATGCCCGCGAAAGGAATAGGAGCCAATGGACGGCCCTCAAAGTCGTATACCCAACTATCAGCGACAACTATGATTGGCCGACGTAGCACATGCGCAAGAGAAAAAATGTGCACCTCCTCAAGACTCTCGTAATGAGGCTGCCAACTGTTACTGACCCTCTTTGACAAACCAGAGTTTTCAAGATCATCACTTTCATTTACAGTTGCAGCAGCATCTCCCTCATTTACAGTTGCAAGACCTAAGGCAAATGATGCAAATGTTTGCAAAATAAAGAAAAAGCATTTTTTTCTCGTGCCATGTGGTGCAAGGTCAAATTAAGAGAACAAAGAACACAAGGTCGCACCTTTTCTAGGTATTTCATAGTTAATGGGGAAGAACTTGAGAAATCAAAAATAGCGCAAGTATTAAACTGCCTGTGTAGTGGCAGTTATGGATTTAGGGGAGTGGTGTATGGGAGCATGCATCTAGTCTTGGTTAATTATATGGTGTGCAAGAAGGATGGTAATCTCCCAACAAAATACTAATGTGCCAAACATTTAAGCAATAACAACAGCTTCTATGTTTCAAAATCATTGTTAAACCTTTTTATTCAAATTATATCCTATGTAAATATATAGCCAGACAAACTTTACATACGTTTGGTTGTCACAGGTTCAGAGTTAGCCCTGTCAAGCACAGCCTTCCATTCCGCTTGCCACTCTTCCTCATTAAAATTTAGTCCCTCTTGAAGATTCTTCACCCAAACATACCACAACCAGCGAAGTTTCAAAGTATCCTGAAAACAACTTGATAATAACATCTGATGAACATCTTGCCGTAGGTTCAACCATCGATCATGGACGCCCCATATTCCTAGAGAGGCAGCATGTAGTAGACAATTGCCATCACCACAGGTCAAAAGGGGATACAACCGTTGCAAGCACGACTCTTTTGTCCACCAGTTTAGATGACCTGTTCAGAGAAACAATTTTGTAAAATTGTCAACATGATTCAAGTCAAGTACTAACTTTGCTACAAATGTAGAGCTTACAACGATTTTGTTGGAACAAAGTAAGTTAGATTGCCATATGCTTTCAATATGAAATATGTTAAGCTTTCAACAAACAACATTTGAAAATTTTCAAACACAAGCAATTATTTGGTTTCGAATAAAACGTGTATTTGGTAGAGTACCTGATACTTCAAACATAAACTTTCTTATACCACTTGCAATTTCCTGTGTAATAAATACTAAAGGTCAACATCATTGACCTTATTTGTGATTTGTTTGAGAAGTAAAAGTTGACAAGCAACTATACGATTAGCTAGTAGTGTTAGCAAAAACCTCTTCTGCCTTTTACATTTTACCTTACCTGTTTCCTCAAGCGATTTTAAAGTTGCATTTTCCACAAGGTCCTTCATTAAGAATGCGGCAAAATCGTCCTCGAACTGAGACAAATCTGGCAATGTAAAATTATAACAAGCAATTTCATGCTTCTCCTGCCCTTTCGATTTAATATCTTCGTGAAGTTTTGACACTATTTCTTGATCAACCATGGAAAATCCACGTAGAATTTTGTTAGGCCGTCGAAATTCAGCATCCATATTATCGGCCATTATTTATACATCCCAAAAACTCTAAAACATTTGAGCGACCATTTTCATTGAAAAGCTCTGAATTTTTCCCATAGGAAACACGATTAGATTTGATAGTCCAGCTAATTTATAAAATAAGCCGAGAAAAACATTCAGCTTTAGTTCATTTCGTATTGAAAACAATTCCTTGCCTCACTTCCTTCTAAAAGTTTGCGCGAAGTACACGCGCGGCGAGGTAAACATACCGGAACGTTCCTTGCTTTCCCCAGCGGCAGTGTTGCCATATCGTGAACAAAGTTCATAAATAAGCCAAAAAGAAAACACATATTTTTCAAAAAACAAACGCAACGTTTAAACATCTCAAACAAATTTCATTTTATGAATTATATATATAATTTATCATTAGCCCGGGCCAAACGTTCTTGAAATGATAAGGACTCTTAAAAACGTCATAGAAATACTGCATAAAAGATCTCTTCTTTTGACAAAAATTAAATAACTTAAAAAATACATACGATCTAAAGAATTAAAAATGTAATAAAAGTACCATGAAAATCAGTTCAACCAACCCAATATTATAAAAGTTAGTTTTAATTAATAAGTGCTGTCAAATATCTCCACAGCATCTCGTATTTTTACTGGTTAGCACTATTTTCCACCCAGCAAACCGCCCTTTATTTGAAATATAATATTTTACACAATCTAATATTTTACACAATATAATATTTTATGTAATATTTTACACAATCGTCGAAAAACGACATATTTTCCAGCCTGGATTATAAGTTTATAACTTAAGATGGTTGCATGAAAATTTATACTGCAACATTTATCTCTAAATATTTTCATATGTTGATATTAAAAACTGTATTATAAAAATATAAAATTACTCGCCATCTCAAAACGACCTAGCACCAGTGCATGCATGGTTTCCTTTTAGCTTTTGATTCTTTCCCATTAGCCGCCATCTTTAATTTATTAACGATTGTGTAAAGTAAAGGGCGGTTTGCTGGGTGGAAAATAGTGCTAACCATTTTTACTTGGGATTTCTATCCCAACTCCAACCCAAAACCCACCCAAACTCCTCAATAAAATGGTGCAAGATTCGTGATTGTTGTTGAAAATAATATACGAAAAAAGTTAAAAGAAGCTGTTTTTGGTTTTACTGATTAAGTATTATTGCAAAAATACACAGATATTCTACTAAAAGCCTTTTAATGTCGCTATGTCAAAAATTGTCAATCCATGTATAGGCAACAAATCAATCATTTAATGCTTTGCCTTCAAGTTGCTTCTAAAAGAAAATATTTATTGCTGTCAAACAAGCATGTTAATGAAGCAACACAATTTTTAGAAAAGATCAGCAAGTATATGAATAAACTGATAATTTTAGGTATTTGCTATTAATCAGTGGCGAAAAGTTATTTCTGGAATATAGGGGAGGCAAAACTTGAAATAGTCTCAAGAATTGTGGTTAATTTTGCATTTTTATAACACTTATGGATGCAACATTTGAGAATTTGTCATAATAGCTCCAAATTCCTTGGACGCAAAGGACGCAAAACTGTAATCATGAACAAGTCAGACTATATCAACAAAGCGAAGACCCTCTTACAAGACACCAACACGTATGAACCTCTACAAACAGACCCCAACAAAACCACTACCAACCGCATCAACAAGAAATTAAAACAACTAAAAGACAAAAAGAAACTTAACGAAACCGTCTACAAAAGAATCCGACCCAACGACTCCTCCACCGCCAAATTCTATGGACTACCAAAGATTCACAAAGAAAACAACCCGCTACGACCAATTGTATCTCTTCCTGGATCTCCCACGTATGAACTATCAAAATATCTTTCTAATATTCTGCACCCACTAGTCAAATCATCACATCATACTATCAAAAATGCCACAATAATAAAAATGTAAATTTCCTCACCAATATTAAAAATGTAAAACTAAAACCAGACGAAATCATGATATCTTACGATGTAGTGTCACTTTTCACATCTATACCACTAAACATAGCCAAACAAGTCACAAACGAACTATTTACTAACAACAACTCATGGAAAATCACAACCGAACTAGACCAAGATGATATCATCGACCTGCTCGAGCTCTGCCTCTCCACTGAATTGTCCTTCCAAAATTTATATTACCGACAAATCTCAGGAACACCAATGGGTTCTCCTTTATCCACCTTCCTTACAGAAGCTGCTATGCAAACCTTGAAAAGCAGTCAGTAACCAACAACACACACATCAGACTATGGAGAAGATTTGTTGACGACATCTTTGCTATCGTCGAAAAAGACAAAACAGAACACATTCTACACACAATAAACAACACCACACAGAACATAACCTTCACCATGGACAAAGAACAGAAGAAACAACTTACCTTCCTAGATATTCTACTTACCAGATCACATGACGGCACATTAAACACACAAGTATTCCGCAAAAATACACACACAGACCAAATACTCAACTTTAATAGCAATCACCCAACACAACACAAAATTAGTTGCATACGAACTCTCTTTAACAGGATTAAAACACACTGCAATACAGAAAAAGCCAAGAAGAATGAACGCAACTACTTATACTCTACATTCATAAACAACAATTACCCACGAAACTTTATCAACAAAGTATGAAACAAAATACACAACAAACCACAAACTGAAAAACCTAACGAAGATACAGACGAACCAGTAAAAATAGTGACATTACCATACATAAACGGAACATCAGAAATGACATCAAGACTACTCCGACCATTCAAAATAAACATCGCACATAAACCAACACACAAACTCAAATCATACTTCACTAAACATAAAAACCGAACAACGACATTTGACACAACCAACGCGGTCTACATGATACCATGTAAAGATTGCCCCAAACAGTACATAGGACAAACATTCAAGAAAATTGAAACAAGACTCACTGAACACAAGAATGCCATCAAACGACGCGACCCAAAATCACTACCAGCAGAACATACCTACGATACCAACCACACATTTCACTGGACAAAAACACAACTTCTTGGACGCGCACAGACAAAACACGCACGAGAATTCAAAGAGGCATGGTACAGCAAAGACAACAACACAATAAACAGACATATTGACATCCCCATCATCTATTCACAACTAAAGACAAAACCAAAACAACAAACTAATAACACAACGACTAAAATAAAACACTCGAATTTCATTAACGCAATCCATACACCCGAAACCATGACAACGCATCTTATACCATCCAATAATATCAACTCAACTACTAACCAACCAATCAGACGCTCCAAACGCCTACAAAATCTTCGCAAATAATATATTCTCACATTCTGACGAAGGCTCGAAGCACCGAGTTGAAAGCTTAATAAAAATTTCAAAACAAAAATCCAGAGAATCCTTTATATTATCATATATATATATATATACTGGGCATAATGCTTGACATTGCTACGCCCATTTTTACCTAAACACGCTCATTTTACTGAAACATATCCAATGGTCTTGCGAGTTGCAAATACAGATGCATCGCAAAATTCAGGGGCCTCACAAACGTGGATCTAGATGTATATGGGCTGCTTACATGAGCCCTGCTAGCCGGGCTAAGAGAAGTAGCCGTCTCATAAGAACTTCCTAATAAAACAAAATTTAGTTTACATGAGCCCGTTTGTCGAGATCTCGTTTGAGCTAGCCGGGAAGCCCGGTTAAACGGAGTAATTTTTCCAATGTAAACATGTCATCCCGGCTGACCGGGCTAAAAGTAGAATTACCATGGTAACTAGCTACGGTCATTTTTCGTTCTTTTGTGTAATGACGTCGGACAAATGTATTTTTTAATATATTGATGACCAAAACCGGTACATTTTAATGAAAACGATCAAAAAAACAAAAACAACTAATACAAGAATTGTTATATGTGCAGAAATGTTTGCCAATGTTAGGTTTTTTAATTTTCGCGCCAAACACCACCGGCGACTTCTCACGCGATTATTGCCATGTAAACCCGGGCTTAAAAGTAGTTTGGTCGAAATGGAGGCGGAGTATACAGTATTACTTAATCGCGACATGTAAGAATAAAAGCGAAGAAGAAAAAGTCGCTATGTGCATGATCGGTCGACAAGGACAAGCCATCAGAGATACCTTTGAATTCGAGTTATATAAAGATTGCTAAGAAATAGTGACAGTACCAATACTATTTCAGAAATTCGAACAATATTGTAAACCACGGAAAAATTTAATCGTGGAGAGACATAGATTCTTGACAAGAAATCAGCAAAAGTCGGAAACCATCGACCAATATGTAACTGAACTTAAGACCTTGGCAGCAAGTTGCGAGTGGGGTGAGATCAAGGAGGACCTAATTTGCAGCAGAATTGTCAGTGTTATCATTTCAAAAAGAGTCAGGGAAAGACTTCTTCGAGAACCCGAATTGAAACTCACTCGAGCGATTGAAATCTGTCAAGTGGATGAATTATCGTTACAACAATTAAAACTGTTCGATAACGACAAAGAAATCGATTCCATCCACAGTCCTCGTCATCCACGACGAGAAAACTTCTAAAAGACAGCACGTTGATAAAAGATAGAAGGAAAATCGTGATGAATATAACATAGAAAAGAAATGCATGCATTGTGGAAACAAACATCCTAAACAAAAATGTCCAGCGTTTGGTGGGCAATGTAATAAATGCAAGAAATTCAATCATTACGCCAAGATGTGTCGCTCAAGTGGAAAATTAAACTCAATTGAGACAAAGCGATCTAACAATGGATCTAATCAAGAAGAAGCAAGCGACGATTTCCTATTCCTCGATACAATACAAGCTGCCATAAACGAAACAAGACTTAATCAAAATCAAGCGGAATATGCGACACTGTGCGTGAACAATACTGAAGTCAAGTTAAAACTAGATACTGGGGCAGGGGTGAACGTCATCCCAGTTAAAACATATAAATCGTTAGCAAGCACTACAAGACTACCATTAAAAAAGCCAGCAGTTAATCTTACCGCATACAACGGCAAGCCTGTTCTCGTTAAAGCTGTATGTACTCTGCATTGCAAATACCGAGAAGAAGAGCACGATTTGGAATTCTTTATATCAGATACACCCAGTGAGCCTATACTCAGTATAGCAGCCTGCAAAGAATTAAAACTCGTCA